CCATTATTATTATTATTATTATTATTATTATTATTATTATTATTATTATTATTATTATTATTAAGTTAACCCCCGGCCCCACCCCTCCCGGCATTCTCCTTACCTAAACGTCCACATCAAGTTAGCGAGGAACAAGTGAATTTGTCGACGGCCCATTATTGTCTCTCTTTAGTTTCCTATATTTTGATTGCAGAACCAATTCATTTGTCGTCAACTTTGTATCAAGGGTGGTGGACTAGGGCAGTATTTCGGCGACGGGAGGGGAGGTAGCCTGTGTAGAACGCGCGCAAGGAATAATAGGCAGTGAGTTGGGGCGGTGCCAGAGAGCGAAAACACTTGCCCTACGGTTAACACTCGCTCCCTATTTGCTCGAGCGCCTGTTATGCGGGTTCAAGAGGGGATGAATTCTAGGCTAGGAAAAACTAGGCAGAACTATGATTGGTTTAATAATACGTTCTTCATAGCCACAGCAGTACTAGTGGTTCGTTATCACATCTAGATTCTCTCCTTGTAGCACGCACGTTTTAAAGCAGCGGCTTGCATGCAATGACAAGCCTGACAGTACCAGCGCAAAGAGACACAACCAATCTCTTCTAAACATATTGTTATAACTCGTAGCGCTTGATCTGTATACGCCGTCAACATTATTTTTTTTGAAACGTTCGTTCAGAGACCGTGTTCTCTCCTGCGCTCTTGAAACACGTCACGGCGAACTTAAACTGAAACGGAATCGGCTTACTAAGTAATTTCTGAAAGAGTTCAGTTGTTTCTTGATTGTTGCGTTAAGCGATGGTTTGGGACCATCATGTTGGTCTTATGATTCGAAGTCGTTCAAGGTAGGTCTAGCTTAGCCCGCACATGGTGTGTGCGGAGTCTCATTTGATCGATTTATTTAGTCTGAGCAATAATTTTTATTGTAGGTATTGATAGATGTGCTTAGGAGCTGCTACTGACCTTTAATTTGCTTTGGTATTCACGAGAGATCTATTTTTTGTCAAGTTGTTTTGGTTTGGTTTGTCTCAAGACTTTCGTTATCACGAGTTTTTTATTCAACATTTTCTATTGGCTTTGGATAGTCGTGTGGGAATGCTTAGGTTCGTTTCGTCTAGTAGCGTCAAACAATTTAGATATTTTCACGTATCAGACGATATACGTAGGTTTGTTTGGCTTTCTAAGTTACTGCGAACAGAGAGAACGTGCGGAAGAATAGAGAAAAAAAATTAAACTTCTTCGAAGAAAAGGAAGATCTTGTTTTGTATCTCTAAGTGTGTATTTTCTCAGCTAAAATGCTTTTTTTAAGGCAGTCATTATCAAAAACGAAAATGCTATTACAGGTAATTACACGAGCAATTCATTTGAAAGACAAGAAGCACAGTGAACACTGAATCAAAGCTAAACGCGCGAAGCCGGCTAAAACTTTCAGCTGGACCATGGTTGGGAAAATGAATTACTAATACGTTGCGGTAAGCCAATCTTCCGTTGGTACATTTACCCATAACTCTAAGCGCACGAAAACTTAAACAACGCTCATAAAAACGTACAGAAAAGTTCTAAACATCTTTAAATCTAGCATACACTATGTCGTGAGTACAGGGACAAATAATGCAAAAATATGGCTTTCCCTGTACCAGTTATGGCCTGTTTAAGGTTCGCATGGTATATTGTGGTAAAATGTACAACCACCATATTTTTTTCCTACAGATTGTTGCAAGCCGCGACTGGTCCTGGTTGGTTAGAAGTACCCCGGTAACGGTTTCTCTGATTGGTTTACGCATGTAACCGAGGAGGCCTTAAAATACACATCAAATAGTATTTTTGCTTGATTTCTAATTATTTTTAATTTGTTTGTATTGTGGCTGTGTAGTTTGACTGGTACTGTAGCGACTGCGGTTTTAAGTTTAGAAGAGAGATTATCAGAGGTTCATCACTCAACTTTATAAACTTACTTACAATCCGCAGTCTCCTTTGGTTAAATTTCTTTCTACATTATATTCGTGTGAATTGTCTTGCTAACTTGAATTAGGCCGGAGGTTTTTCCCTGCGAACGACAAATTTCTAATCGGTAATTCAGATTTTGCAGGCGTGTCTTCTAAATTGTGGTTTTTGTCCAACTGTGTTTGCAGGCTTTAATAGCCTCAACAGTGTGATAATTCTTCCAGACTCTTACAGTACTTCGCTGACATATGAAGACAGAGTTAGACATTTTCAAATTATAGCAAAAGGACTTAAATTTTCAGGTAAGATTGGTTAACGTAATTATTAATCACTGATAATTATGAGCTATGTTTTTCATTTCACACGGCAAAGTCTGTTCTATTCTCTAAACTGGCAGTCTGCCGAGCCAGACGATTCGTGATTTTTAAAGAAACGATGATTCGCCTAATCTGTTTATCTCGCGGCAGTGCGATTTTTAACTTCGTTAATTTCGAAGCCAGGCCGGGGCTCGTTTCTCGAAAGCCCCGGAAACTTTACGGGCCCGCAAAGCCATTTTTATTTAATCGGTATTTAAAGAAAGAGAGGTGTATACGTCTGAAACTTCTTTTATGAAGGGCGCCTCTGTTCATAAGGTTTGAGATTTCGCTACGGTTTCTCGGGTGCGAAAACTTTTCGGGACCTTCGAGAAACGGGCCCAAGGCCTTTAAATGAGTTCATTCATTCCTGGCAAGAGCCTGGATGATGAGACATTCTCGACGTTACCTTAACAGTCCGTTCTAAAATATTGTTTGCGCCCATTTCATTGATATTAAGGAAAAACAAATTAATATCGCAAACAAATTGCGAGATACCTTGTATTTGATGTTGAAACAGTTAATGAGTAAGACAGATGTATGCGAAATAGCTTCGAAACGCACTGTTTTATTTTTATGGCAAAATTCCGCGCAATTCACTATTCCAAATAAGTCATGTTTTATCTGGAGTCAAGAATTCCAGTCAATATAAATTCTTCCTCATGGGAAATTTGAGTTGAAGCCAAATCACGCAAGCATTGTTCTCTCTGTCATTTATTGTCGTACAATCCCCCAGTCACGCGTAATGCAAGCGTTCTGGAATGGAGAATTGCAGGTTTATCCAGGTTTGTTTTCCATCTCAGTGCCGTGCGTCTCTCCTCCGCATAGGCCTCTTTCGTGCGGCATTGACCGTACAACGCAGTAAAGGGGCTGGAGAGAGGAGAAAGAGAGTGCATAAGGGAACACTGGAAACAGAGGGAACAGAGAAAAGAAAGCTCGTGAAGGCAGCCTGAGCTGTGTTGCATTGAAAAAATGCAGAGTGCCTAGCCAATAAGAGAACGGCATTCGTGATAGACCGCTAGTAGACTTATACTAAGGTAACGCATCCGGCGCAAAATAAGGGGTCCTTAGAGGGGTTAAATCCAACATAGACTACCAGACCCCCCCAACTTGAGTTCCGGTTAGAATACTACAGGGGTAATGTCACGAAAAACTCTCCCCACTGATGACATTATAGTACAGTTATCCATTATTGAAGGTCAAATTATTTTGAAAATGTTCCGTACACAAAGTGGTACCGTGTTGTATTTCGTCCTTTCTCTCTGAATTTCAAAAGTAAAATCTGAGATTCCGTGAAAAAAAGAAAACCTGAAAAATTCAAGATCGTTGTTGTTGTTGTTGTGTTTTTGAAGAACCATATGGCTGGCGTCGCGTGATTAAGGTCGAATCAACACGGGAAAATCTTGACAAGCGAATCCTGTTTTGAAAATACAGGCCTACTTAGGTCTACATACTGCGCAGTGTATCGGCTGACAACACTACTCCTCTCTAGGTCATCTGAAATTGACACTGTTTCTTTTTGCGATCACGTCCGTGCAGATTTCCTTTTTACGTTAGAAATTAACCGACGGTTATTATGCTTGGTTTATAACAGGACAGATCGCGCTTCCGTGCGGGTACCCGTCGTGGTTGGATTTAAAAAGTTGACGAACAGGATTTTCACCTATCATCAGTTGCATGAGAAACCGGTTTATCAATTACCAACCGGGCTCCAACCACAAGAGTGAAAACCCAGTATTCATGCGCGCCTGGGTTTATCTACAGAGTCTTTGGTAGATCGTGTGCGGTCCACGGACAGAATGGCGAATTATTGCAAAGATTTCAGCTGTGATTCGCGCAGATCTTGGTTCGTTTGTGGGTCTTCTTTCGTCGTGCAATTCATCATCTTTGGAGTGCATAGTTCTGTGGGGATTTTCTTTATTGCCTTCGGGAGGGAATTTCATCGCAGTGAATCGGCTACAGGTAATTAATTGTTTTTAATCTTAATTGCTGTGTTATTCGCTTTGGAAAAAGATTTCTGGTTTACAGTTGATGGGACGGTAGGATTTTAAATCTCTGTTGGAGAATTACTACACTTCAATACAAATGTAATTCAAAACAACACACCGCAAACTTCGTTTCCGATTGGTTTCATGTCTGTTTTGAAAATTCAAGAAGAGTAAATAATATGCCATATTTATCTCGGTAATGTAATATTACATTGTGCTTAATATCAGTGGGTTCATTCTGGTAACAGGCTTCACTACAAACCAGTCTAGCGGATACGCTTTTATTTTATTTTAGGCAGGACGTGATTTCTGAGCAGTCGCTTGACGTCCGGTTAACCGGATATACTGTTAAATAGTAACTTCCGGTTGATGTTTTGTTTTGGTCATGAATAATTGAACAAGACGAATAATTGCCGGTATTTTCTTTTAATGCTCCAGAATGTCATATAGTACTGTTAAAAAAATATTCTTCCAAGCCTTCGATTAGGGATTTGGGATTTGGGAGCAGAGGTTAATTACAACGGAAAGTGGGAGAAAAATTGCCGTTCTTCAAGTGCTCCCAACTAACCGCGAACGCCTGGGACAGGCTACGTTAGGAAAGGACACGCAGCACTGCCCGGGTTCGATCCCGGGACATGACAGAGACGCGGCGGGGATTGATGTTTCTGCACTGTTTCCTTTCCTTGCCACAGAAAAAAAAATTAGATCTGATATGGTCCACGAGAGGGCGGCCGGTTCGGTGATAATATAGGGGCAGGGCTAAGGTGAAAGAGGGGGATTTCCCTCTGCTTCATCTCTCTCCCCGAGTTCGCTGTCTATACCCGACAAAGAGAGTCCCTCATGTGAACTATTGTGGTCCACTCTGATCTTAACTGTAATATAAACAGTTATTTATAGTTATATACTTGTTAGCATAGTGTTACATGAGAGTTTTTAGACAGAAAAGCAATGAAATCGCGTTACTGGCAAATTGAATGCCATGTATCATAAGGGAAAATCATGCCCAAACCCAAACATACTTGACAGTTGACTCTGTTTACTCCGCTACCCACAATTTCCTACGCTTTCGTTTGCATCCAGTTATTTTTGCTTTAACCTTATGGAGAGCCTCTTCGTAAGCTGAATGGTCGTGTCAATGAAACATATACAGTCGAACCCCTACTAACGGGCGCCTCTACAACAAGCACTTGTTTTTGAACGAGCAGAGACTCGAAAAATTCGCTCAGTGTTATTTTAACTTCTCTACAATGGCCATTTCTCCGCAACAGCAGCGGCCACTTAATTTTGACTCAGTTGCATACAAAAATATCTTCCATAAAGGCCGCTTAATTAACGGCTGACGAACGGTGTATTTATAATCCCAGAATACAAGTAGCGAACAGCCAGGGAAACCCGCCCATGGATCTATTTCGATTCAGTTGCGGAGCATGTTAAGAGCGCGATCACTCGTCGTTATGAACTCTTTTTCCTTTCAAATCTCCAAGCTAAAGGATGTCATGTTAGAGCGCTAGGGCAGCTACCAGTGACCTATTTGGCTTGTCACGCGTTCTTTCGTTTTGAAATCGTTATTACCCTGCATGCAGAGTCTCCTTCTATCTATAGGAGAATCGAAAGAGGGCAGATCGTGACAAGCCCGCCAACCTCGAGGAGCGACCCTGGGTGCTAGATTCGCACAGAGCGTGATGCGCGCGAGAGGGAGACACGAGAGGAATTTCCGGCCATGCGCTGATCTCGTGAACGTGGAGATCGTGAAAAGCAACAGCATTCACTAGAGATAGATCGTTTTCACGTGACGTCATCAAATTCCAAAATCCAAAACTAAAGAGCCACGAAAATTTTTATCCTCATAAGGCATAAGGGGATCTAAACTTAAATCTGTTTACAACTTTTCAGCTCAATAGTGTGCTTGGTTAAGAAACCAGTGCCGTTTGAAGTTCAGAGTTATGTCGGTGCGTGACATACCACTCCGATCGCGTTTGTGGAGAAATATACACTTATCTAATGATTTTTAGNTTTCTTGAACTCCTTCATAACTCCACCTACAAAGAAGTACAGAAATTCACAGTCGATTGGCACTCATCTTAAGGGATCAAAACTGGATGTTATCATGCAGATTAAGCAGGCCATTTCCAAGGACAACGAAAAGTTTAAGAAGGCATTTAACAGGATTTGGGGTCGCTCTGGTGGATGGGTATCTGGGACGTGTCAGCACGGCGCTATCCACGCTTTAAAGTTTGTTCTATGTGCAGAAAGTCCAAGGAATTACATTGATCTTATTTTGTCTATGGCACACCAGCCAAATATCGTGGTAAGTGATACGGCCAACATGCTAGTTGCACATGGACAAAAGAGAAACAGAGACATGTTTGGCGTGCACAATGGTATGGTTGCTGAACCGACCTGCAAGAGGCACTTGAAGGAAGACTGGAAGTATTGCTGCCATGGTTAAACGACAACTACATAGATGGAGTGACAAATGCAGTACTACAAAGATGAACCCGGTGCCTGGAAGCGATAAGCATTTGTCTCTGATTGATTGCACAAAAGAAACACAAAGAAAGATGAAGAGGCGAGTAAGGAATAGAACGTTTTCACGTGACGTCATCAAATTCCAAAATCCAAAACTAAAGAGCCACGAAAAATTTTTATCCTCATAAGGCATAAGGGGATCTAAACTTAAATCTGTTTACAACTTTTCAGCTCAATAGTGTGCTTGGTTTAGAAACCAGTGCCGTTTGAAGTTCAGAGTTATGTCGGTGCATGACATACCACCCCGATCGCGTTTGTGGAGAAATGTACACTTATCTAATGATTTTTAGCCTTTTTAGGAGTTAAAGTGTTAGGAAAAGTGCTTGTGTAAATGTTTGTTGGTTCAGTTCAGATAATTAGTCACCTAGATAGCCAAAGTAAGTTCCAGATGTTTGCACTATTTTCCGACCGCCATGTTGGTGGAGCACAGAGCTCCACCAACATGGCGGCTCCATACTGGGCTCTGTAAATTTGCGCAAAACATTTCGACGAATATCTGAAGTTTGGGAAAACGCAGAGACCCAAAAATTGGAGAAGTMTCTCCTTTACCTGTCTCCTATAATATCAAAATTTCTTGACTTTATCCACTGAATAGTTTTCGATTTATTTTTTCGTTGCGTGACAGTGAAAACCATCTATAGGAACTGTTTGCTTGTAACCCAAGCTGTAGGCGTTTCTTGTGATGCACTCGCGTGTCTTTTATACTCTATGAGAAATGCGTTTTGCACGTAAAATCCAAAAGCGGCCAGTTTTTTCGCCCCTTCAGCTTGTTTGGGACTCGAAAAATCCGGTTGCTCTTTTGTTGTTTTTCTATCGCAAACTGTTATATTTTGGGTCAAATGCCATTTTTTGGCTATTTGAGTCATTTGTCAATCGTTGACAGACCGACCGGTTATTGCGCTTGCCCAATATCGATATGCTCTTGGACTTTAAACTCGGACTGAACTTGGGGTTTTTAATAGCAAGTAAAAAGCTCACGTTAGGCTTACCACACGATATAAAGTGGGCTTGTTTCCATCTGGCGTTATAGAAATTACTAGATCTCAAGTTTTTTTTTTTAATAAACAAGCGCTAACCTTTTTTTTTTTCCTTTTTTCTTTTTAATTACAAGTTCCCTGTGGATTATTTTCTTAGTAGTTTCTATGGGGTATAGATTATGATGCCATGTTATATTGACAACCTACTCCCTCCTTCCCACACTTTGTTGGGTTTATGCGCAGGAGCTTATAAAGTAGCATGCAGTTTCGTTTCTCTACTCAAGAACGAGATGTAGAAAGGATATTTTTTAGACAAATGGTAAAAAAAACTGATCGGTGAAATATTATTTTCGGCGTGTCAAAGTAAACAGATTTCTAATATTTCATAAATGAAATTTTCCAAAAATTTAATTCAAAATGTCTGTATAAGCACGGTAAAGCACCCAGGTCAAAATGGCGGATTAAAAGCCAGTGTTAATTCGGAACCCTTTCTCTGTTCTCTCCTGCGCCAGACAAAACGGTTTTTTTTCGCGCGTACGGTAATGAATTTACGTTGGGAGGTGAAAAAAAGCTGTTGACAGAAGGAAATGAAGAAAGGATAAGTATCCCAACATAGACCAAAATAGACCCACCATAGGATATTGAAAGGAAGAATCTGTCTTGCAATGACCTTGAGTTTACTATGACCTTAGAAGGTAGCGTTTCTGGGTGGGTCTGAAATGAGTTGAAGTACTCTCAGAATAAGCAATAGAAGTAGGCAAAATAAGTTCACGCGTCATTTCCGCAAGGATGACAGGAGATTTAAGAGGTTTACAGCCTCCAAACTGGTTTACAAGACTCTAAACCGCGGTATCGTGGAGTGGCGATTTTTAGACAATTTAGAGCCTATGGGTTTAGTAATGCACTGAGCACTGCACATTTGTATTGTTACAACTCGGCTAGGCTCGATTACCAGTCGCTATTCGGGAAAGGAGCCCTCTAGGGCAGGAACGTAGAGATAACGGCCGAAATCGAGCCTAAAGCTCGGTGGGCTGAGTTATAAGCGAAAGTCAACGCCATCTTTACTCGAAATTCAAATGCGAATTTAGTTCTATTTTAAAAGTGCCTAACGCTAGAATTAGGATTGTAACCCTGTGTCCTACCCCAGTTAGTCAGTGAACAGGTAGATTTTCCGTGATGACCGAATAGTACAATCAGAAGAATTTAATGGAACTGGGTCATGCTTTTTGGGTGTTTTTCTTTTCTGCTGTACAACTTAAGTTACTTTTCAAAGTCGAAAATAAAAGAGTATGATAAATATTGCAATTGCGGAAGAGTTTTCAGATGCTCCTTCTAGGCACAGCTCCTATGAACTAACGCGTAACAAGAATGCTCTAAGGCTCTTTCTGAAGGATTTTATCCACAGAATCAAAAGGAAGAACCATATATAGCATAAGCCAAAACTTTGACTTGCTCCTGAAGGGAAAGAGTAAATTTCAGCTTACATAAAATATACGTGCCTACCAGTTATTGGCGCTTTAATTCAGGTTACCTTTGACCTATCAGTAAAATATGGGATTTGTAGCGCACAGTGGGTCAACACCAGTGTAATATCCGTTGATTATGTTTCAACTTCAGAGCACGTTTGAGTATTGCATGCGATATCTATAGGAAAGGAACCAAGTGCTGATAATTAGCTTAACGGTTTCTACCGAATGTTCCGAAAGAGCTCACATAGTTAGAGTTTCTCATTGTTCATTCAGAAAAGGTAAAAACCGAAAGCTGTGGCGATTTTCTTCTCCGTGTCGATCTCCTTTCCGATCCATTTCCGTCTTAATATTTCCTGTATCATAAAGTTCATAGCGAAGAAAACATTCCCCAGTATTTACCGAAATAGAGGTGAACAAAGTCCATTTATGGTGGAACCCCGTTGATCCGGTCAACAACGAGCCAGAAAATTCTGGCTGTACTTAATGGGCTGGCCATATTCTGGGGGTTCTTTACAATTAAGAAAATAACCGACTGAGCTTTTGATCGGGCCAGAATAAAGTGGCCGTGATAACGAGGTGGCCGTATTAACGAGTTGGCCGTAAGGCGGGCTGTCACTCTAATAAGTTCCTGTCAAAGCAATAAATAATGAAGCCGGGAAGGATTTTTGTTCTTTTTGAGATGCAATCACGGGCAGCTTTATTTAATTATGATTTATTATTGTTATCATTTCTAGCATGGGTGGGCTCGCTGGCGTTCGGTGTTATGTTTTTCATGGGCCCCTTAACCACGGTCCTCTGCGAGCAATTAGGATGCCGGGTAGTCACGTGCCTTGGAGGCATTCTGTCATTTGTGGGTCTTCTAACTACGTCATTCGTCACCAATTTTACTCTGTTGTACATTACCTATGGGCTCCTCTGGGGAGCTGGGACGAGTTTCTGTTACTTCGCCTCTCTAGTAATTTTACCGTCGCATTTCAGAAACTATTTATCATTGGCTTACGGAATTGCCATCGCTGGAGCTGGATTGGGTGTTCCGCCGATGACGTGGGCCATCAATCAACTTATTGCTCATTATGATTGGAGGATAACGATGCGAATTCTCGCTGGAATGTCATTGTTAATGTGTGTTTCGAGTTTGAGCTACAGCAGACTTGAGGATAAGCAAGAACAACGTGTTCAGCTGCAAAAGAAGGACAGACGTAGAAGTTTAGATATTGGCATTCTTTACAAGATTAAATTACGTTTGTTGGAATTTCTCAGTTTAAATCCTTGGAAAAATAAGGCCTTTGCGGTGTGGGCCATTTCCTTGAGTTTCATCGCGTTTGGCAATTTTATACCTTTCGTCTTTTTGGTAAGTATGTTCAGTTTGTTTTCCAAACACTGCGAAGAGAGTTGAAAATACGTCGCGCATCGGAGTATTTTTGACAAACTTCGAGGTGTGTGGCAATGTGGTCAAACACTGTCTTGAGTGTTTGATATATCTTCTCAATCGAAACTAAATCTGAGGAGAGAACGGAGAAATATAATCGTAAAAATCTATGTTAATTAAGATCAGATTTCCAGACACCGTCACGGTCATGATTTGCTTTGTTTACAGTATATGGTGAGTTTGAGAAGCGTGCAACGTTGTTGCAATGTTGCTTTTCATGGAGCGAGAAGCCGAAAATAATCCCTCGGGGCAAAGACTAGAATTGGATCAGTTGGACTGGTTACATCAGCTACAATTCAAATAATTTGGTAAATTTATTCCATGTTACCTCTTGTTAAAAATAACGTGTTATCATTTAGTCTAATACCACTAGTGATTATCTTCGCTGCAAGAGGAGAGAGTATTCTAAAATAAAATTTCCCTCCCTGGTTTTAATTTGTGGGAACTAAAGAGTATCTCTTATGTTTCAACAGATAAGCATAGCAAACGACATTGGTATACCCAGCTCCAAAAGTGCTTTACTCATTGGTTACCAGGCCTTCACGCAAACAGCTGCCCGAATAGCGTTCGGAAGGCTTGGAAATAGTCCACGAATAGACAGAGTTGCATCTGTTCAAATCATTGGTCTTGTTTTGGCTGTCAACGCGACACTGTTTCCTCTAGCTCGGAGTTATTTGTCTTTAGTTGTGTATGTTGTTGTGTTTGGACTTTTCGATGGATGCTTAGCTGTCATGTTTGGGATGGGAACTCTTTACATTGTCGGGGAGAAGCTCGTAGGGCGTGCCTTTGGAAATCTTTGTTTCGCAGCGGCCATTGGAAATGTCCTGGGGCCACCTGTGGCAGGTTGGTATAATTTGAATGATGTCAGGAGCTTCTTACCAGGAGATCAGAACCATCTCTATCCGTGGACTCGCGTCTCGCGCTGTTAGATTTTATATGAGTAGTCTGAGTAGGTTGTTTATAGAAAGTGTTTCTGTTTAGTGACATCCTAATAAAAAGTGGAAACTTTTGGTTGCAGACTTCTCTATCGACGTGTAGTTTTGATACGCAAATAGTTAAATCTCTCGGAAGGTTTTCCACGCAACGTCAATCACCATGGAAGCTCAGAAAAATCTGATCAAGCGAATATTTTCCCTTCTTTGGGCTCGTCACGCAACCTTTCGTTGGGGAAGAGCGCGAGACAAGTCATAAGAAGGCTAGCGGATATCTTAACCTCGTTCCCTGGGTCTCTCTTCTTTCCGCCCCACTGGCGTCTTTTAATGTTTGCGGTAGTCGATGATTTGCTTTGTTTGAGAGTCAGATTTCACATTGACAATGCGTTGTTGTATTGTTATAAGGAATGAAGTAATGATCACAGATTTCAATTTCATTTTCCACAGGCTTCATCTTCGATGTGTTCGGAAAATACGACATAGCATTTTACCTTTCTGGAGCTGTCATGACATGTGGGGTATGTCTTCTGTTTCTAGTGCCGTGGCTGATGCCGACAAAAACAGAACTATGTCAAGAAAAGGTTATGCTTCTGAACGAGACTGATAAATTGACGAAAAAATCAACGAATTACGAGAGAGCTTCACGAACGATTTACAGCTTTCCCACCGAAGCTGCTTTCTTTGCGCGGGCTGCGCACTGCGACCACGTGTTACAGCGTAGCGTTTCCATGGAAATGCTAAACCGAAGTGGTACGTCAACTTTAATGAAGTCGGCAATGTTTCGCGCATGGTCAGCCGCTGCCCAGTTGCACTGCACTGATTCGTTGAATGAATCATCGGGTTATGAAAGCGATTCCAATAGACAGAGCCCTTCTTCGCAGTCTAGCGAAATCGTGGATACGTCAGAGGAAAACAAGCTTGGTTCTGTAACCATAGTAACACCGGCTTTGAGCTTTGACGATCTTGAAGTAGTTGTTCAACAAGAGAAACTTGTAAAGGGAGGATGGTACGCTAGTTCTATGGACATGTTTAGCGTAATGTTTGAAAATTCATTAGAACACGATGTGACTAGTCGTCCAGCTTCAATTAGTGATAACACAAGCAGTGGAAAAGACGTAACTACTGATGGAAAAATACAAATAACAACACTTTTATCTCAGGCAGAACTTGACTACAACTTGGAAATTTGTCAAGAAACAGTTTTATGAAAGGATTTCGCAGGTGAAACACGATTTAACTCAGGGACACTATCACGGGAATGATATTCAAATTCAAACTTAATTACATATTTTCACTGATGGAAACCTAAATATAGTGGGCAAGTTTGGTTAAAAATTAGTACGCGAGAGTACTGAAGTTATACAAGGAGGGTCCACGGGTTTTTAAGGCTAAAAGTTGGCTTCTTCACAGCTAACTGTTAATATATATACTTTTCGGTTAACAGAATTCTTAGAAATTTTATTGCAATTGTTTTAAAAGTTTAAAAAAGATAATTTGCATCGTTTTAAAAAGTTAAAATTTATTATGGTTATTTTAAAACATATTTAACGCTTAGGACCATTCCGAGATGGAACAATTTATTATCATTTACACCAACTAAACTAGTTTAACTAAATCAGGTTTATGTTTCTCCAATTTGTCAATTGTGCTTTGCTGTAATTTTCAAACCACGTTGCTAATATGTTTTAATCAAACAGGTTTTTACCTTGCTAAGTTGTTGGGTAAGCACGGTACGAGCAACTAATTTTTAACCTTGTTTAGCTAAACCACTTTAAAACAAGTTTAACATGTTGGTGTGAACAAGGTACAAGTCTCCCGTCTTTTCCATGTACTACCGAACCACAAGACAAGGCTACAAAAAGTCTTAACAAGAGACCTTGAGACTCACTTTCGTGGCTAAAATTGGTTTACCGTTAACAGTTACAAATTTTCTAACTTTTACACCTAACGGCTAACGTTTTGGCCCGTTTTACGGCCATTGAGACCCTCTAAAAGGAGTGATACAATGGGTTACGCACGCAGTGGGTTGTGTTGTCAAATTGAAAATGTCTGGCAAATCATTTTGTCAAATTCTGTTGTCGTGTCTTAGAAAAATTGCAAAATACTAATAACCATTTGCTCTTCCTTTAATAATTCAGTTAGTATCTCCATCTTGATGTTCTTAGAGCATTTCTTTCACGAGGGAATGCACTCAGTTAAAAATTTTAGCACTGTATCAACTAAAAATCTAACAAAATCGCCCTGAAAAAGCGTTTTTCTTTTGAGCGTCGAAAACTGATTGATTTTGAACTTACTACGCCATACGATTGGCTTAAAAAACGCGCGCCACTTTTTCATCCAATCAGAAGTAAAACCAAAACCAGTCGTGCCTCGCTCGCACTCGTTTTCTCGCGCTTCCCGTCAGCTACATGTAATAACTCCGAGTTCTGATTGGTCCACTACATTTTCTGCGTCCGTTGTGATTGGCTAGAGCGATTACTTTGGTTTTGATTTTACGACACTCAGTTAAAAACCGCTCTAGTAGTGTCCCTTAGAATTGACTTTTACTTCGTGCCTATTTTAAGGTATCTTTTATAGAGCGGTTTTCAGTTGANTGGCAATTTTATACCTTTCGTCTTTTTGGTAAGTATGTTCAGTTTGTTTTCCAAACACTGCGAAGAGAGTTGAAAATACGTCGCGCATCGGAGTATTTTTGACAAACTTCGAGGTGTGTGGCAATGTGGTCAAACACTGTCTTGAGTGTTTGATATATCTTCTCAATCGAAACTAAATCTGAGGAGAGAACGGAGAAATATAATCGTAAAAATCTATGTTAATTAAGATCAGATTTCCAGACACCGTCACGGTCATGATTTGCTTTGTTTACAGTATATGGTGAGTTTGAGAAGCGTGCAACGTTGTTGCAATGTTGCTTTTCATGGAGCGAGAAGCCGAAAATAATCCCTCGGGGCAAAGACTAGAATTGGATCAGTTGGACTGGTTACATCAGCTACAATTCAAATAATTTGGTAAATTTATTCCATGTTACCTCTTGTTAAAAATAACGTGTTATCATTTAGTCTAATACCACTAGTGATTATCTTCGCTGCAAGAGGAGAGAGTATTCTAAAATAAAATTTCCCTCCCTGGTTTTAATTTGTGGGAACTAAAGAGTATCTCTTATGTTTCAACAGATAAGCATAGCAAACGACATTGGTATACCCAGCTCCAAAAGTGCTTTACTCATTGGTTACCAGGCCTTCACGCAAACAGCTGCCCGAATAGCGTTCGGAAGGCTTGGAAATAGTCCACGAATAGACAGAGTTGCATCTGTTCAAATCATTGGTCTTGTTTTGGCTGTCAACGCGACACTGTTTCCTCTAGCTCGGAGTTATTTGTCTTTAGTTGTGTATGTTGTTGTGTTTGGACTTTTCGATGGATGCTTAGCTGTCATGTTTGGGATGGGAACTCTTTACATTGTCGGGGAGAAGCTCGTAGGGCGTGCCTTTGGAAATCTTTGTTTCGCAGCGGCCATTGGAAATGTCCTGGGGCCACCTGTGGCAGGTTGGTATAATTTGAATGATGTCAGGAGCTTCTTACCAGGAGATCAGAACCATCTCTATCCGTGGACTCGCGTCTCGCGCTGTTAGATTTTATATGAGTAGTCTGAGTAGGTTGTTTATAGAAAGTGTTTCTGTTTAGTGACATCCTAATAAAAAGTGGAAACTTTTGGTTGCAGACTTCTCTATCGACGTGTAGTTTTGATACGCAAATAGTTAAATCTCTCGGAAGGTTTTCCACGCAACGTCAATCACCATGGAAGCTCAGAAAAATCTGATCAAGCGAATATTTTCCCTTCTTTGGGCTCGTCACGCAACCTTTCGTTGGGGAAGAGCGCGAGACAAGTCATAAGAAGGCTAGCGGATATCTTAACCTCGTTCCCTGGGTCTCTCTTCTTTCCGCCCCACTGGCGTCTTTTAATGTTTGCGGTAGTCGATGATTTGCTTTGTTTGAGAGTCAGATTTCACATTGACAATGCGTTGTTGTATTGTTATAAGGAATGAAGTAATGATCACAGATTTCAATTTCATTTTCCACAGGCTTCATCTTCGATGTGTTCGGAAAATACGACATAGCATTTTACCTTTCTGGAGCTGTCATGACATGTGGGGTATGTCTTCTGTTTCTAGTGCCGTGGCTGATGCCGACAAAAACAGAACTATGTCAAGAAAAGGTTATGCTTCTGAACGAGACTGATAAATTGACGAAAAAATCAACGAATTACGAGAGAGCTTCACGAACGATTTACAGCTTTCCCACCGAAGCTGCTTTCTTTGCGCGGGCTGCGCACTGCGACCACGTGTTACAGCGTAGCGTTTCCATGGAAATGCTAAACCGAAGTGGTACGTCAACTTTAATGAAGTCGGCAATGTTTCGCGCATGGTCAGCCGCTGCCCAGTTGCACTGCACTGATTCGTTGAATGAATCATCGGGTTATGAAAGCGATTCCAATAGACAGAGCCCTTCTTCGCAGTCTAGCGAAATCGTGGATACGTCAGAGGAAAACAAGCTTGGTTCTGTAACCATAGTAACACCGGCTTTGAGCTTTGACGATCTTGAAGTAGTTGTTCAACAAGAGAAACTTGTAAAGGGAGGATGGTACGCTAGTTCTATGGACATGTTTAGCGTAATGTTTGAAAATTCATTAGAACACGATGTGACTAGTCGTCCAGCTTCAATTAGTGATAACACAAGCAGTGGAAAAGACGTAACTACTGATGGAAAAATACAAATAACAACACTTTTATCTCAGGCAGAACTTGACTACAACTTGGAAATTTGTCAAGAAACAGTTTTATGAAAGGATTTCGCAGGTGAAACACGATTTAACTCAGGGACACTATCACGGGAATGATATTCAAATTCAAACTTAATTACATATTTTCACTGATGGAAACCTAAATATAGTGGGCAAGTTTGGTTAAAAATTAGTACGCGAGAGTACTGAAGTTATACAAGGAGGGTCCACGGGTTTTTAAGGCTAAAAGTTGGCTTCTTCACAGCTAACTGTTAATATATATACTTTTCGGTTAACAGAATTCTTAGAAATTTTATTGCAATTGTTTTAAAAGTTTAAAAAAGATAATTTGCATCGTTTTAAAAAGTTAAAATTTATTATGGTTATTTTAAAACATATTTAACGCTTAGGACCATTCCGAGATGGAACAATTTATTATCATTTACACCAACTAAACTAGTTTAACTAAATCAGGTTTATGTTTCTCCAATTTGTCAATTGTGCTTTGCTGTAATTTTCAAACCACGTTGCTAATATGTTTTAATCAAACAGGTTTTTACCTTGCTAAGTTGTTGGGTAAGCACGGTACGAGCAACTAATTTTTAACCTTGTTTAGCTAAACCACTTTAAAACAAGTTTAACATGTTGGTGTGAACAAGGTACAAGTCTCCCGTCTTTTCCATGTACTACCGAACCACAAGACAAGGCTACAAAAAGTCTTAACAAGAGACCTTGAGACTCACTTTCGTGGCTAAAATTGGTTTACCGTTAACAGTTACAAATTTTCTAACTTTTACACCTAACGGCTAACGTTTTGGCCCGTTTTACGGCCATTGAGACCCTCTAAAAGGAGTGATACAATGGGTTACGCACGCAGTGGGTTGTGTTGTCAAATTGAAAATGTCTGGCAAATCATTTTGTCAAATTCTGTTGTCGTGTCTTAGAAAAATTGCAAAATACTAATAACCATTTGCTCTTCCTTTAATAATTCAGTTAGTATCTCCATCTTGATGTTCTTAGAGCATTTCTTTCACGAGGGAATGCACTCAGTTAAAAATTTTAGCACTGTATCAACTAAAAATCTAACAAAATCGCCCTGAAAAAGCGTTTTTCTTTTGAGCGTCGAAAACTGATTGATTTTGAACTTACTACGCCATACGATTGGCTTAAAAAACGCGCGCCACTTTTTCATCCAATCAGAAGTAAAACCAAAACCAGTCGTGCCTCGCTCGCACTCGTTTTCTCGCGCTTCCCGTCAGCTACATGTAATAACTCCGAGTTCTGATTGGTCCACTACATTTTCTGCGTCCGTTGTGATTGGCTAGAGCGATTACTTTGGTTTTGATTTTACGACACTCAGTTAAAAACCGCTCTAGTAGTGTCCCTTAGAATTGACTTTTACTTCGTGCCTATTTTAAGGTATCTTTTATAGAGCGGTTTTCAGTTGATTGTCGTAAAACCAAAACCAAACCAATTACTTACCAATTAGACTACTCAGCCAATCTCAAACCGTAGTAAAACCAAAACCAAAACCAAAGTAATTGTCTAATTACATTCGACACTCAAATGAAAACCGCTCTATTCGTTAATCGATATCACTGCCACTTCAGTTAATTAAAATGGCTGGATAATTGCACTAACAAATACAATAAATAGATACATTTTCTAGCTGACACTGTCATTGCCCAGGTAGAGAACAAAGTTTCTTGGAAGTATTCTTATGATTAATTGCTTTTCATCACACTTGCTTAATGCGCTCCTGAAAACCTTCACTTCATTTACCTCAGACAGGAGGAATTATTTACAACTTTAGAAAGAGAAGTTGCAAACGACTGTTTTTCGACAGAGTGTAGTTGGAGGGGGGAGGGGAATCAAGTTAAGAGACAATTTTTTGGAATTATTCACTAAATCAAGTGGCTTTTTATACATCGTATCATCGAATATTTAGCTTTAAAATTATTTGCAGGCAAATTATTTGTTATTCGTTATTATTACCTGAGTAATTTAATATTTAATTTTTTGTAATAGTTTGAATTGTGCTAGAGTGTGAAACAACGTTACTGGGCGCTTCAAAGAAGCTGGGAATATAGAAGCTATTTTAAGTTTCAAGATAAAATCACCTTATTGTTTCTGTGAAACGTATAGCTGGACTTAATCTTACACTGCATTTACAATCTTTTATAATATTAATGCACTTGTGAGCCCAGGAACCGAATATTTCGGCAATTGTAGGGAATTGGGCAGGAAATAAAATCACTTGGAAATGTAGATACCCAGCCTGTTGGTTGATGCTTCTTTGACATAATCAGTAGTCATTAAGTTTCATCTCGTGATAAATTACACCACACGGAAACCCGAAAAGATCTTTCGTGACGATCTACGCCACGTGCTAGCTAGAATTTGAATATAAACGCCAGCTGACCAGGGTCGATTATTTAAAACGGATTAGATTAGACTGATTAGAAACTGTACCGCTTAGGCTAATGAGGCAAATATTTTAAACAAAGATTCCCGTATACCTCCACGAATTCCAGGTTGGAATAATCTGGTCAGAGTGCCACCCTTACTCCTGACGTTTGTTTTCCTTTCTATTTCGCAGTCATTGATTTTGATTTTGTTTCGCGTCAGTAGGCAAGCGAAGCACGAAAACCGCTGAGACAATCAGGGTAAAGAAACGTAATCAAGGGATTAAAACCACTTTTCTTTTATTACTGGATTTATTTCAAACTGTTAACAAGTCACGGCTGCACGCCGTGACGTTTTTAATTGTATTATTGTCAGGCCTGTTCCACTTGCTCCATTGCTAGGCCTTTTTCTACTCTGTTGTAATCATCTTTCAACGATCACGTTTAAAGACTGACTGTTGTCACTATCCTTCCGCTGGTGTATCCTCGTGCAATTTACTGTAAGGCATTTCGTTTTCTGACAGGCTAGAATCTGTGGAAGTGCTAGAATCATCTGTTGATGAGGCAGACGAGGGGCGTTTGTGGAGAACAAGGCAATTCTCGGGAAGATCTCCAAGATTTACGTATTGGATGGGCTCACTGTTTTGTGCCAAAAGTGGCGCAATATCATCGTGGATCGAAGTCTTTACCATTTCTCCATCTATATTTGAGTCATCGGCTTTTTCGCTTGCGAACATCTCGTCCTCATCATTAATTGATTCCAATTCTTGACAGACAATTCCACATATTGAATTGTCGCTCAGTTTATTTGGAAGCTCGTCAAGCTTAGATTCAGATATCAAATCTGATTCAATCTCGCTGAGAGAATTGCCAGTCGCTGACAAATCTTCATCACTGGGCACATGATGTGTTTCAGTACTCCCACTTTGCGTTAGTTTCAGGGTTCCAAGGTGTTCGTGATCTATCATGGAAACAGGCTCTAGAACTATTTTCTCGACAGTCTGTTTGTCTACCACAGATTTCTGTCTTGATTCACTATCCTTACCACCAGTCTCATAAGGGAGAGATATTTCTGTGGTGACAGAAACGGACGGGTCTGCTCGCTTACGATGGACTTGTTTTGGCGGAGGAGGAAGTGTGACAGGAATACCCTGACCATTCATCTTAGTGATCATGTCGGCCACGTCAGAAAAGATCTGTAGTGGAGGAAACAGACTCTCCTGATCTGCAGCACAATGATCCTTCTCGTCAGTCTTTGGTTCCCTTGACACACATGCAGAGTTGCTTTCAAGTTTTGCACTACTATCCGAAGATGATTCACTTTCGGTATCCATCTCAAAAATTAAACCCTCCTCGCTTTGCGAAAAAATTGTCCATTGGCTTCGTTTACTGACTTCTTGATCTGCGTCCAGCTTGGGATTGTCAGAAGTGGTGAATGTCTGTTCCGTAATACCAGTGTCAGACTCCTCTGGGAGTCTGTGAAAGTTCTTATCCGTGAAATTATTTCGCTGAGGAACAACTTGTTGGTCAATCAAATTTTCAGCACAATAGGGCTCAAAATGCGAGTCACTTGCTTGAGGTGATGAATTCAACTTTGGCGAGACCTGGGTGAAAGACCTACTCTCCGATAAGAACGCCTCCGTTTGTTCGGTTATGCACTGCTCTTTCTCTGTGGTTAATCCCTTTGAATGATACGACCGAGGATGTTCATCATGTGGATCTAATCCACCAGGAATTTCGAATGGATTTTGCGATTCATCTGGCAATCTTCTCGATGGCTGTTGAAATGGGTTGCACTGGGAAAATCCCGTAAGCTCTTTTTGGTCTGATACCAAAAATGAGTTTAATTCTGAGCACAGTGGGCTTGGATCAAACCTGGTTTCTCGCTGGATGTCTCTTGAATCTGGTCTGTATTCTATCTTTTGTTGGGGCTCGGAAGTAGTACAAGCGTTAGAAATAACCTCTGGTAAGAGAATACTTGCAGATTCGGGTTGATAGTTATTGCTAATTGTGTCTGGTTTTTGCACGGTTAGACCTACCATCTCTAGTTCGTTTTCCTTTGGATCTGTCGTGTTAAACAATTGCTGGCAAGTATGCACTTCCAGAGGCATTTCACTATTGGAAAGCTCTTTTTGAGGCACTTCTTCAGCCAACTGTTGGGTAATATTTAAAGTTTCCACTTTGCATGAGTCGTTCATTTGGTTCGTTTGTACTTCTGTTAAATTGGAATTCAGGTGTGACTGTTGAAGCGGATTTTGCCTGTAAACGTCTGTGTTTTCATAATTTAAACATGGCTTTTGCGGTAGACACATATCAACTGAAGCCTCCGCCTGCTGACTGGGACTATAATTTTCTGGAGAGTTCATATGTCCTCTGTGGCTTTCATTAATCGTAAATTCCACAATATCAATTGGTTCACTCACGCTGTTTAAGTCACCTATTGATCTGGCGCTATTCGAAACTGAAGAACTGGCTCCGCTTGACTGTTTTGGAGAGAATGCCTCTGTGGATCCACGCAGATCTCTTACACTCCATTCGTTGACAACAAATTCTTGTCCTACCTCTGAGAATGAGGAACATCTGCTCTGTTGTTGGCTGTCAGCTTCCTGTGAGGGCGAAGGGCTGCAAACGTCCATTACATCGTTCCATTTATTAGAATCGTTAGTATTCACCTGTCCTGTCTCATAAACATTTGAGCGTGAAAGGTTCGCCATAGACACGTCGCTTGGAGTGCAGATTCCAGACACACCTGGGGCTGGTGTGTGCGGGATGTGAATGGGAGCCAGTGCTGTTGTCAGAAACGCACTTGGAGGTGTTTGGCGTGGAGTAGGTGCTGGGGTGTTGAGACAACTTGACCATGCACAAGCGGGTGTAAGTGGTACACTGTGATTTGCAGAATAAAGAGGCGTTAAAGGCAAACTCTGGAGTGCTGGTGAGAATGGAGGACGTTGATCTGGTTGGTCATTATCCCTGTGTTCTTCTTCTTCCTGAATCTGGCGAGCGGCAACAGCTTCAAGTCTTTCACTCAGCAGATTAAGTTGGTCAATAATAGCAAGATGTAATCTTTCTTTCCGTTGCGTGGTTGAAACGGCTCTGCAAGAAGAATTATCATCGGCGGCTGCTTCTTTGTCATACTGGTTATCCTGCTCTGCGTCCGATTTTACCTCGGAAAGGAAAGATTTTTCCCCATCCTTATTTGCTTCACTTTCCAAAGCCACTAACTGCCCTGTGCGTGGAGCGCTGGGTGGGGGTGGAATACGAACAAGTTCGAGCAGACCATTTATAGATTCGTTTTCTACACTTCCCTCGTTCTCCAGCGATATTGCCTCAATTATAGGAGTCCTCACGCTTTGTTCGCTATCTTGAATCGTTTCTGCATCAGGGTCTTTTCTCTCTGTTTTCAGTGTGACATCATCTCCAATGCCATCTGTGCTTGAAATACTGGCAATGTCACTTTGGTCATTTGATACAGTATCTAGAGGATCGGCTCTCCTTTTGCGATGAATTTCTGGAGGAGGGGGAAGTTTAACCAATTCTATCTCGAGTTCTACATCCGTGTTGTCAACAATCATTGGCCCTGGTGAAGTCTTATTTTCTACTGCGACTTGTGACGGTTGAGGCTTTGTGAATAAATCAGAACATTCTGTATCAGCCTGCTCGATTTCCTTTGCTTCCAGAGCAGCCTGCTTGTCAAGGATTGGGCTTCTGGTGGTTAGATACTTATCGCTCGTCACAGACACTTTTTCCTGCTGCTCGCCTCCTTGCAGGATCATGCCATCACCAGATATATTGATCCCACCCTCATCTACGCTGTGAGGT